AACATATTATAATCCATGGAGGGCAGTATAAAAGCGCATATACTGCAGCCATCAAAGCTCCTCTGAGAGTTATTTCCCAATTGTAATAGTTTTTATTATCAAGGCTGCACTACTCCATAGACACTTTAGGGAGAAACACTAAATATGCAGGTAGCAATCATTGCAACCATAATCAAATACTAATTAAATCAAATTTTGTTTTTATTGTACACTATGATTGCCCTATTTTGGACAATGCAGCCTCTACCTTGTTTTTGTGGTTCTCATCTACTTATTACTATCCAGTTACAGGTAGTTACAACATCACTGAAAAAGGTGACTTATGACTGTTTTTCACACAACTGTTGCGGCATCCCCATGGTCAGGTGATCAAAAGTCAGGTGCTTAGCAACTGACTCATATTTATGACGGTTGCAGTGTCCCAGGGTCATGTGATCCCCTTTTGCAGCCTTCTGACAAGCAAAGTCAATGGGGAAGCCAGATTAACTATAGCAATAGCACTTAGTCTTATATACCGCTTCATAGTGCTTTACAGCCCTCTCTAAGCAGTTCACAGAGTCAGCATATTGTCCTCAACACTCTGGGTCCTCATTTTACCGACCTCGGAAGGATGGAAAGCTGAGTCAACCTTGAGCCCGTCAGAATCAAACTCCTGGCAGTGAACAGTGTAGTTAGCCTGTAATCCCGCATTGTAACCACTGCACCACCACGTCTTACGTTCATTTAACAACTGTGTAACTAACTTAACAACTGCAATGATTCACTTAACAAATGTGGCAAGAAAAGTCACAAAATGGGGCAAAAGACAACTGCCTCGCTTAGCAACAGAAATTTTGGGATCAATTGTGGTCGTAAGTCAAGGACTACTTCTATTATCCACTACGGTTGTTCTTTCCTCCGATATTGGAATTGCTGTTTTTGGAATTTGGCAAACTATGCACAGACTAGCCATTCACAAATGCTGAGCCTTGCTAGCTCTGATAAAATGGATTAAATTTGTATTTATTAATTAGATATAGAACCTGACCTTTGTTCAAATGCTCAAGAAGATGATGTACATTAGAAGATGAAGGCAATAAAACTTTCCCTCAAAGCTGTACCCAGAAGCTATATTAGTGGCCTTCCCATTCTGGAAAAGGCAAAAAGAGATTGGTATGAAAGGGCCTGTGGCAAAACCAGAGGCGGGCGTCACATAATGTAACAACCAGTTCGCCCAGCACCGAAAATGTGACATACCAAAAGGATCCCTCCAGCATTCTATTCTTAGATTAGAAAAAACTTTCATGTCTTTAGAAAGGCTCTTGAATAAACATACCGGTTATGGAATAAAAGGATCTGTTCTTTTATGGCATGGAACCAGCAAATGGTAAAACTAAACGTACAATTTTCTCAGTGGAAAGGCTAATGCTTTTTTATTGAGATACAAATTATGTTGACAAGGGTAAACAGTGAGCTGGCCAAATTTGTGAATGATACTAAATTATTCAGGTTGGTAAAAATTAAAATTGATTGTGAAGAGCTCGAGAGAGATCTCTTAAACCGGAACAACGGTCAAAGGGCAAAGTAGTTTAAGTAATGGTAATGTGAAGCATTTTTGGAGCAATCTCTTCTATCAGCACATCACAATGATGGGGACGATCTGCAACTACTGAGGAAAAAGTTGCCGGAATCATAACGAATAACTTAATGAAGATGTTAACTCAGCAACTAGCAGCTGTGGAACAAATGCACAAATTCCATGCTTGAAATCACTAGGAAAGAGATGGCAAAAATTAGAATGCCCTCATTACAAATCAATTGTCCACCTCTGGATCTCAACATCCAAAAATGGATCTATAGTAGGAAAAAAATGAAAAAGAGTAGAACTATCTTCTCCAGAAGGTTTGAACATCTGAAAAGGTGGATGGACTTAATTGTAGTGGTAGTAGGTGCACCATTGGAAGACAAGATTGGGGATAGATCGTCTTGAAGAAAAACTACGCAATCTCTTAAGAGTCAGTACTGACTTGATGGCACATAATCATCATCAGAACTATTGGGTCTCACTCCTTAGCTTAGAAGAAGGTATCTGAAAGACACAAAGTATACAAAATAATGTCTGGTGCGGATAAAGTGGCCAGAGGAAATTCCTAACGCACTGGGAGATTTAGAACATATGACATTAACTACTTCACACAACACATAATCAATGCATATGTCAACTGGGGTGGCTCATAAAAGGGGATTGTGAGGCTTCAAGCTCTGGTAGAAGAGCTTGTAAGAAACAAAATGCTGGATTAAAATGGCCCTTACCGATGCAGAAAGGCTGTGATAATATTCTTAAGAACTCCTATCATTTCCAGCCACTATGAATTTGTCATTTAGACTTGACTAGACATGTTGCTGCTATGTTTATAAATATTTAGTCTCTCTTCATTTCATTGAGTGAGCTCTCTTACAAAGTCGTGGACAAATAAGTAGTAACTAGTAATCAGCTTCATTGGAGGGCAACTTTAGATATTTTGAACTAAACGCTTATTTATATCCCAGATTTAGTTTAGGACCTTAGGAAGGCATACAAATCTCCCACAAGCTCAACCTAAGAATTCCGGAGGGAATGTTGAAGTATATCTGAGGAAGATAAAAGTCACATACATAGCCTTGTATTGTCCAAAATCTCAAAGGAGAAAGTTTGGGCAAAGTGCTTCTTATTGCTTGTCTATTCTTTAGTGTACCACTATAGCTACCTTCTTGCTTTTGTCCTATCTGCAAACTAGATGAAGATATTTGCTTTTGTATTTGATAGTTTGCTCAAAACATGTGAAAGGAAGGCAGTTATTTGAATGACCCAAAATACCCGATTCCACATAATCTATGGTTATAAAGGTGGTCCTCGGTTCACTTAGTGACTGAAGTTACAACGGCACTGAAGAAAGTAACTTAAGACCATTTTTCATATTTATGATCATCGTAGCATCCTCATGGTCATGTGATTTACATCTAGATGCTTGACAACTGACTTGTATTTATGATGGTTGCAGTGTCCCAGAGTCACGTGATCTCCTTTTGTGACCTTCTGACAAGCAAAGTCAATGGGGAAACAGATTCACTTAACAACCATGTTACTAATTAAACAACTGCAGTGGTTCACTTAACAAACGTGGCAAGAAAACCCGTAAAATGGGGCAAACCTCACTTAACAAATTTCTCACTTTAACAACATGTTTTGGGCTCAATTGTGGTCGTAAATTGAGGACTTCCTACGTATACTCGCTGGGAATGGGATTTCCACTCAGAAGCTGAGATCAATGTAGCTTAGTCCCAGACAAATGGTACTAGATGAGTATTTCAACATTAAATCTCAAGTGAAGTTTTAACAATGATCTTTCTGGAATCTAGGGCACCATCAATAGTTCTCCAATTCTTAAAGACAGCATGTGTAGAACGTAGTTTAGTAGTTTAAATTAACTACTGTACAGCCAGCCTTGTATAATTGTATTATCTATCTATCTATCATCCATCCATCATCTCTCACCCACACATACATCTGTCTTTCCATCCATCCATCCACCCACCCATCATCTCTCACATCTATCTATCTACCTATGTACCTTTCTATCTATCTATCTATCTATCTATCTATCTACTCACCCCCCACCCATCTATCTTCTACCTACCTACTTACCTACCTACCTACCTTTCTATCTATCTATCTACTCACCCACCCACCCATCTATCTAGCTATCTTCTATCTACCTACCTATCTACCTTTCTATCTATCTATCTCTATCTACTCACCCACCCACCCACCCATCTATCTAGCTATCTTCTATCTACCTACCTACCTAACTTCCTATCTATCTATCTATCTATCATCCATCCATCATCTCTCACCCACACATACGTCTGTCCATCCATCCATCCACCCACCCATCCATCATCTCTCACATCTATGTACCTACCCACCTACCTACCTACTCACCCACCCACCCATCTATCTATCTATCTTCTATCTACCTGCCTACCTACCTTTCTATCTATCTAACTACTCACCCACCCACCCATCTTCTACCTACCTACCTACCTTTCTATCTATCTGTCTTTCTATCTATCATCCATCCATCCATCATCTCTCTCACCCACACGTCTGTCTGTCCATCCATCCATTCACCCACCCATCATCTCTCAAATCTACCTACCTACCTACCTATCCACTCACCCACCCACCCACCTATCTTCTACCTACCTACCTACCTACCTACGTCTCTCTCTCTCTCTCTCTCCCTACCTACCTAGCCAGCTATTACACATGCGCATTGTACTGCATATTCCTTCACGTGCGCCGCCCTCCCGCCTACCAGCTCAGTTCAAAAACTACATTTTTTTCTTCACTTCCTGATAAGAGGATTTTTTTTTTTTTAAAGAACGCGTCGTTCTATAATACGGCTGCGCGTGGAACCCGAAGGAGCGACGCCATTGGCTGAAGGGAAAGGACATCAAGAGTCAGATCATTGGCGGCCAGTGGCTGTTCTGAAGGCGTGGCTGGAGGGGGGTGGGTACGTTTGTGAGAGATTCCGCTTCTGATTGGCTACCAGTTCGCCGTGGCCCTAGAGAGCATTAAAAAGGTGAGTGTTCCGTGAAGTCGTGGGTGAAACCTTTAGGAGGGCCTGAGCAAAGTAAAGCAGTTACGTGGCATGTAACCGACCTGAGACACTGGAAGGCTCAGGCCCTTTGGGGCAGGCGCTTTGCATTGGTAACTGTGGGTGGCGTGTTGAAGCCTGAACTGACTGCGGAGAGAACTGTCAGCTTCCGTGTTTCTTGGTCTTTTTTTTTCTATTACAGTCTTGGGGGCTGTAATAGAAACACATATAAGCCAGAGGTCTTCAAACTTGGCAGCTTTAGGACTTGTGGACTTCAACTCCCAGAATCCTCCAGAATAGCTATGCTGGCTGGAGAATTCTGGGAGTTGAAGTCCACAAGCTGCCAAGTTTGAAGACCTCTGGCTTATATGTGTTGGGGGGGGGGGGAAGCCTATTTAAGTATTGTAGCTAAAGAAATGCTAGTCGGGTTTTCATTTCGCAGAAGAAAGTCTGAGCATCAGTTTTGATTTTTTATGATTATGTGCCATCAAGTTGGTGTCAATACTTAGCAGACACAAATATAGATTTTTCTCCATCGAGATCTATCTCTAACCTTGGGTTTCATGTCTGCCAGCCCCACTCCCTCAAGTCCTGCTGTGCTGCCTCATGTTGGGTGCGGGGTGGGGGGAGGAAAAAAGGGTATTCCTAGGAGGAATGAGTGGGGTGGAGGTGTATGCCAGGGGTATATATTCCCAGCAGGGTCACCCAAAGTATGAAGGTCATCCCAGCTGCCCACTAAAGCAACCGGGCATCTACTGTGTTTTGGGCAGCAGCGATATAGGAAGATGCAGGAAATGGATTATTACTTTAGGGACAACAGCAAATGCAGCAATTTATACTGCACAGGAGAAGGCAGAAATTCCTATATTTTTTACCAAGACAACTGCACGAATAGAAAATAGTAAATGATTGACAATATAATGCCAGATGATGGCCATCTCAGGTTGGATAGCATTCAACGTGTTCCTGAGGAAAAGCTCTTGGTTAAAACATTCTTAAGGATGGTGGTAGGATTGCATGTGGGATGACTCATAAAATAAAAGTTAGATTGTATTAGTTCAATCTGACTCCCTTTATGTATCAATATGAAAGTCTGTTTCTGTTAACATTCATTAGCAAAAATATGGAAAACTCCAGAAAATCTCAAATGGAGCAATTATGGGACTTGAAGTCCAAATTATGAGATAGTTACGTGAGAATCAGTGTGATGGAGCAGTTCAGGTGCTGAACCGGGAGTGAGGAAAACCAGTTCTAATCTTCTAATCTTCCCTTAAGACAATTATTCTCTCACTCAGCCCTAGACTGGGAAAAAAAATTTTTTTAAATTACCAACCCATACTGGACCAGTGTGGCAGCTTATGATCTATAATTATCAGGTAAGGAGCTTTTAATCCTATACTAGCTTGAGTGAGCTAATAATAATTGTGAAGCTGCCATGAATTACTTTGGAGTTGAGCAGTCTAAAAATATTTCAGGATAGAAATCCTGAAAGAAAGTTTCAGGATATTCTAATATCTCAATCTGGTCTCAGCTTGGAAATGTCCCTGGCACGGCTTGGAAAAGTGGTTCCCAAATCAAGCATCTTGTTCCTGTGTGACATGCAAGAGAAATTCCGCCCCAACATCAGCTACTTTCCTCAGATTGTATCTGTGGCAGCTCGGATGCTGAAGGTAAACACTGGAGGGTAAGGACAAAGAAGTTTGGCACGGCCTAAGAGACAGGAGAGAGAGAGATGAAGGGATAGGGGAAGAAATTATTTATATCACTAAATGGTTTTGATTGGGTACCCAATCAAAGTACCCAAAGTACAGAAGTTCAGGATTCTAAATATGGGTTCAAGAATTCATTCAGGTATTACAAGGAGACCATGCTTTAGCTATTAGGGACGTTACCCAGCAGGTTCCTCTAAGACTGAGTCTAGTCCATAATTTTGAGGTAGATATTGCCCAAATTTTAGTGACTCTTGGGAGCTGTTTGCAAGAATGTTTTGTTGTCAATGTTGGCAAAAGCAGGCATCACAACATGTTTTGCCAAGTGTCATGGTAATGATAAGGTGCCTAAGCAATTGGTTCTTTGGGATCCAGAAGACAATGAAAATTCCAATAAATACAGGGATTTTAAACTCTATTATTAACTCGAGCAAACAGATGTAAAAGCATAAAAAGCATATGGTATATACCAAGCAAAATATTACCAACATTTCTTTCAAGCTGTCAGGAGCTCCTTAATAATGATAGCAGAGATGTCCCAAGGGTGGCCAATTTCCATGGTACCTAGTGCCAGGTTCCATGCTGAAGCTCCCAACAAACAACAAAACCCCCAGGTTTTTATCAAAGCGTGGCACCATGATTTCATGGCCCTGCTATGGTCAGGTGATTGCAAGACCTGACCTTGAATGGTGGTACATGACTCTGGGATGGGAATCAAAAGCCCCGAGACTTTCACTGTGAGTAGAGAGCTATGTGAAGATCCAGCAAACAGGAATCAAAAACAAACAGGCTAGCTCAAGAAAGAGCTCTAAACCTCTAGGCTTTTTCTTAATATGAAAGAGAAATCAAAATATGTCGCTAAATTCCTCAAAACAACAATGGTCTTCCTGAGTGCCACTACCCAAGTACTTACTTGGGTGTCCATGAAAGACGGGCCCTTAAGGCAAGGCTAAGGTGTCTTGTGCAATTCCTTAGATGGACACAAGGGGTCAGCATAAAATCAGCATCTGAAAAGCTCACCTCTCCATCTAAACAATCTGGGAGTCCAGCTTGTTTTCACCACACCCATCCCTAAGGCCCTGTTCTGTCTCCCCACAGGTTGCCAAAGCTCTTGAAATATGCACTGTGGTCACTGAGCAATACCCCAAAGGTTTGGGTCCAACAGTACCGGAGCTGGGAGCTGAAGAATTGCCCAAATACACCAAAACATGCTTCAGCATGCTTATCCCAGAGGTGGAAAAAGAGATGGCATCTGTTCCCAACTTGAAATCTATACTTCTCTGTGGGATCGAGACACAGGCTTGCATCATGGTATGAGATCAGGAACCTGGATTTTGAGGGTAGAGGAAAAGAACTGATGCCAGGGTAGATGGGCTACCGATGCAGCTATTATCAATGTACCAATAGAAGAGAATATTTGTAGCTCATGGTTGAGCTGTGAGGTTCTTGATGCTTTTGGAGCTTGGTTTCATCAGTGTTCAGCAGAAAGCTAATAATAACTCAGTTCCCCTCCTATTGGTGCTGCAGGGGGGGTGTACGACAACATGCCGTGGCTAAGTCGCCTCAGCCAATTTGTCAGTCAACTAGCTGTGGCCAAGTCGCTATGACCAACTTGCCGTGGTACAACTCGCTGCAAGACAAGAGTTGCACTAATATCGAAGAATAGAATAAAGAAAGAAAGGATGCCAAAGAAGGGACAAAATGAAATATAAATGATGAACATTTAAAATAAAATAAAATAATTTTAAATAATTAACCTGAATTGTTGAATTGTCCCACAATGAGTTGACCATGACAAATTGTCCTGTGGTGAGTTGGTTGTAGTGAGCTGATCATGGTGACTTGGCCATAGCAAGTTGGCTGAGCCGAATTGTTCCATTCCGCTTTCAGCGAACCCAACTGCATGTGTATATGGTGGTGCTTAAGGTCTTGGAGTAAACATGGGAGATTCAAGTTTAAACCACCTTTAGGTCTCAAGTGTTTGAACTAGTCTCGCTAAGCCATTATTCTTTGCAACTTGTTATGGGAATCTGCAGGAATTTGCTTCTTTTGTCAAAAATAACAGATAAAGCATGCTGCAAACTCTGCTCCAGGGCAGAGCTTAGAGCGCAATATGGTTTTAATCGTTGTGCCCCACCTCCTGTGGACCCAGCTGCAAAGGGCTATTGTACAGTTAGAAGGAAGAGAGGTTCCTATTTAAATCACCTTGTATTCCTGGAGGGAAAAGTGGGTTAGAAGCTTAACAGGCAAATAAATAGAAGGTCTATAGAGGTCAGGATTATCGGTCTTGTTCAAATAAGCCAGTAGCTTTTTTTAATAGAACAGGCTAAACCACAGTTTACTGAACTAATTATCGCTGATGGATTCACCAGAGGAGTAAACTGTAAACCATGCTTATAAACTATCCTATCTAGGTTCATATAATGTACAGGTAGTCCTCAACTTACAACCATTCATTTAATGACCATTCAAAATTACAACAGTGCTGAAAAAAGTGATTTGCACCTGGTCCTTGCACTTTAAACCATCGCAGTGTCTTTGCAGTAACGTGATCAAAATGTGGGTGCTTGGAAACAGCATGTATTTTTGACAGTTCCAGTGTCCCAGGGTCATGAGATCACCATTTTTGAACTTCCCAGCCAGCTTCTGACGAGCAAAGTCAATGAGGGAAGCTGGATTCACTTAATAACTGCAGTGATTTGCTTAACGACCATTGTGAAATTGAGCATAACTCATTTAATGACGACTTCAGTGATGAATGTGCCAATCCCAATTGCAGTCATAAGTCCAGGGACTACCTAGTGTAGACAAACCAACAGAAGAAATTATACATAGCTCTGTTAGTTTCTTGGTGTCACTGGAGGTTTTTAAGAAGAGATTAGACAACCATTTGTCTGAAATGGTAGACGGTTTCCTGCCTGAGCAGGGGGTTGGACTAGAAGACCTCCAAGGACCCTTCCAGCTCTGTTATTCTATCTATTCCATATTTTGATCTAATGGGTTGAGCATACACAGCCACATAATATGACTTCTTTGGTTTTGCCTCTGCATGTTGTGTGAATCTGGCCACCTAGAATTTATTCAGCACACTATGGCTAAGCAAGCTGTGCTTGCAAGTGTTGTTTGAAACCGGCATTTAAGTGCCAGAGTAAAATTGGGAAGACATCCATTTCTTCCTATCTCTGAAATTTTAATCGATGTAGCTGGTCTGGAAAATACAGGTAAGCCTTGACTGACAACAGTTCATTTAGTGATCATTCAAAGTTACAACAGCACTGAAAAAATTGTAGCATTCGCCGTGGCCACATGATCAAAATTCAGATGCTTGGCAACTGGCTCATATTTATGACCATTGCTGTGTCCCAAGATCATGTGATCCCCTTTTGCGACCTTCTGATAAGCAAAGTCAATGGGGAAGCCAGATTCACTTGACAGCTGGATTGCTAACATATCAACTGCAGGGATTCACTTAACAACTGTGGCAAAAAAGGTGGTAAAAATGGGGCAAAACTCACTTAATACATATCTCACTTAACAGAAATTTTGGGCTCAATTGTGTAGTTTCAAATCCTGAGGAGCCTGGGAGGGAGTAAAGCAAAGCACTTCAATTTTTTTTCTCAAGTTAGAAGGCCAAATAATGTACAGGTAGTCCTTGACTTACAACTATTAGTTTAGCAACCATTCGCAGTTACAACAGTACCAGTGGTAGGTTTCAAAAATTTTTACTACCAGTTCTGTGGGCGTGGATTGGTGGGGGTGGCAGGGGAAGGATACTGTAAAATCTCCATTCCCTCTCCTATCCAGGGGAAGGTTACTGCAAAATCCCCATTTCCTTCTGATCAGCTGGGACTTGGGAGGCAGAGAATAGATGGGGGAGGGGCCAGTCAGAATTTTTACTATCGGTTCTCCGAACTGCTCAAAATTTCTGCTACCGGTTCTCCAGAACTGGTCAGAACCTGCTGAAACACCTCTGAACAGTACTGAGAAAAATAACTTATAGCTGGTCCTTGCACCCTTCCCAGCCAGCTTCTGATAAGTTAGGTCATGCTTAATGATCATGTGATTCATTTAACAACTGCAGTAATTCGCTTAACAATCATGGCAAAAGTAAAATTGGATACAACTCATTTAACAACTGTCTCGCTTAGCCATGGAACGTCTGGTCTGAATTGTAGTAGTACGTTGAGGACTACCTATAGAACTTAGAAGTAGGCACAAAGCTAATTTGTTCCTTTGAATTAAAGGAGAAGCAGCAAAGCTGCTTTATATGCAGGGAGCCAGCTTACCACCAGTGGGTGTATTCACGGTGAGAATGAAGACCCAGCATAATCATCTCCACAACACAGTTAGTACCAAACACCCCAGCATTTCTTAGCCCAGAGGGCCTGCTGACTGGGCAATTGTGGGAGATGGTTGAAGAACTGAAAGAGTTGCAAAACCCTGGGAGTGGCAGAGTTCTGAAGAGTGCCACCACAGGAATGATTGCTGTCTCATAGAAACTGAAGGCAGTTTCTTTTGATATTTTTTTTGGATCCAGAGTACTGCCTTGGATGCCATGGAGCGAGGCCTGGACGTTCACATCGTGGTGGATGCTTGCTCTTCTCGCAGGTGATCAGTGGGATGGATGGGGAGAAGAGTCCAACATCGCCCCTTCCATTTTCCTCATGTCTTTCATTGGGCTCTTTTCTTTCTGTCTCCCTTTCTTAGCCAAGTGGACAGGATCATAGCTCTGTCCAGACTGCGTCAGAGTGGGGCCTTCCTAACCACTAGCGAGGGACTTATCCTGCAGCTTGTCCGGGATTCAGCCCACCCGCGTTTCCGAGAGGTAATTATCTAAATTTCTTTGCACACATCCAAGCTGCCGGCTTCATTCACCTGCTTCAGTTGGCCAGTGCCTCTCTATAAATGCCCCCCTGGTAAAGCAGTGAGATTTAATCAGCTCAGTGTGAAGCAGTCCCACTGATATCAGGAGCAGCCATCTTTGGTGGTATCCCAGCCACCTTTACACAAGCAGGCTGGAGCTGTTTCTTTTTTTGACAGGGTTAGTTTTTTTTGACAAAACTACAAAACCCATAGTGGCTTGGTCAGGATCAGCAATATCATGAGCAGATGATGGGAGAACATATTGTTCTTGTACGTTATTCTATTGTGTCTCATCTCATGGTCTCCCTGGCATAGAGGAGGAGAATGCTGTAAGTAGTTACCAGAATTCCTAGAGAAGCCTGTTGTGGGGCCAGTCTAGGCTTTTGTCTCTATCTAACTGTAAAGCAATTTGGTTGACCAAATGAGGTCAGCTGATCAAAGCAAATCAATGTGAACAAACCAGTTCTGTGTCTCCGCCCAAGGGAATGTGGTCTGGCAGAGTTAAACCAACCTTTGCCTGGGAGTACATTTTTGGAGAAAATAAGAACTATATTCATCTTTCAATAGACTCATTAGGCCAGAAACTGGATAGCACTAGTCGGAAACTATCAGACTTATTGTAAATGTAATAGTATATCCCTTCAGTCACAATGAACATTACAGTTTTGGTGAGAACTTCTGGCAGGGTTCTGGGGAAATCCATGTTTGTGGATTTTGTGAATTTCTGCTGGCTTGAAAGAAAGCGAATCAGATAGCTTCCGGATGATTCTCCAGCTGTTCCCCCCCCCCCTTTCTTTTTTAGATTCAGAAATTGATTATGGATCCTGCCCCTGACAGTGGCCTTCTGCCCCTCATAAAAATGCCAAATCCTCTTTTCGGTTAGCCCAGCTGCTTCAAGGATGATCTTCTACTAAAGCACCTTCAGTGGTTTCATCTGATGTCCTTGTCCTTCTCAATGGGAAGGAACGAAATCAAGATTCTTCAAGCTGACTTTAAAGAGGAAGATGAATTATAAACCAAACCAAGAAGCTGCATCAGAACTGTGATCTTTCTATAGTTATGCAATGAGATGGTTGAAAGAAGGACTGGTAATATTTTGACCTGGTCTTTTTTGATTAAGAAACATCAATTCTGCCTCCTTAGCTCATGATGTGAATCTTAGTAATGTGTACAAATATATATTTAATTTGCACATTTTATTGTGACAGTTCTCTTGTGAGGGTGTATAAATAATATCTGGAATTGTTTTACACTTTATGTCTATGGAGAACCTCAATCATTCAGATGGTTGTCCCAAAGGTGCTTTTTCAAAAGGCAACTGGGCTTTGTTTTTCCTTGAAAATGTTTCACTTCTCATCCCAGAAGCTTCTTCAGTTTTGACTGCTGAACAATCTTCTTGGATGAGAAGCGAAATATCTTCAAGGAAAAACGAAGTCCAGTTGTCTTTTGAAAAAGCACCTTTGGGTTTTACACTTCAGTGCAGATTTAAGAAACAAGTGGGAAAGTAAGCAGGTGCTAGATTCATACATGATGCTTTCTTAAACTACAGTTTTGGAGTGGTTTTAGTTAACTGCATTTTATTGAGTTCGCATAACATGTAATGTAAGCATTATGACTCAAATCTAATGTATGAATCCAGTTTACTTCTATTGACAGAAAGACAAGTACAAGTAGTCTTTGACTTATAATAGTTCATCTAGTATAGAGGTCTTCAAACTTGGCAGCTTTAAGACTTGTGGACTTCCAACTCCCAGAATTCTCCAGCCAGCTATGCTTGCTAGAGAATTCTGGGAGTTGAAGTCCACAAGTCTTAAAGTTGCCAAATTTGAAGACCTCTGATCTAGTGACTGTTCAAAGTTTACAATGGCACTGGAAAAAGTGACTTATGACCATTTTTCACTTATGACCAAGGCAACATCCCCATGCTCATATGATCAAAATTCAGATGCTTGGCAACTGACTCATATTTATGATGGTTGCAATGTCCCTGGGTCTTGTGATCATCTTTTGCAAACTTCTGACAAGCAAAGTCAATGGGGAACACAAATTCACTTAATAACAATTTCACTAACAACTGCAATAATTCACTTAACAACAAAATGGGGCAAAATTCACTAAGCAAATGTCTTAGTGACATAAATTTTGGGCTCAATTGTGGTTGTAAGTCAAGGACTACCTGTAGCAGTGCGCAGGAAAACAGGAATTTGTACAGGTTATCATACAATCTGAAAAAGTCCTCCCTTTTTCTACTTCCATAACTTTTGAGTCTACTCACAATCACGAAAGCTAAAAATGTGGATTTATTTAAAAACAGATCCTCACAATTTCATGTTAGCTCTGCGATTCATGCTGTGTTCAACACAGTGAAATGTGTATTTTGAGGCCCTAACAATTGTTCAAATTTTCAATAAGCTGCAGCTGTATTTTTTAAAGAAGCTTACTAACTTCACGTGCAGAAATTATTAAGTTAGGAAGTTTCCCTTCATTTCCTGAGAAATTTCAACTGCTGATTTCTGGATACCAAAAGCATAACATTAGTGGCTGCTTTCAATTGTGAAATAAAATGGGTGATTGTTTCACTCTCCAGGCCCACATTTTGTCGACTGGCGGCCCCCAGGGGGAGAGCATTTTCTGTGAGGGCACCCACCATCTGGAACGAGCTCCCCCCAGAGATACAGAAGATTCCGGATCTGCGCACTTTCCGCCGTGCCCTCAAAACATTCCTGTTTCAGCAGGCCGGCCTGGCCTAACTTTCCCTTTATATTGCTTTTTGATTTTATTTTAAACTGGGATGTCTTGAATTACCTAGGACCAGAATGTTTAGTATATTTTAATTGGTTTTTTTTATTATTAACGTTTGTATTACATGTATTTTTATCGTTCGCTGTTCACCGCCCTGAGTCCCTTAGGAATAGGGCGGTATATAAATTTAATAAATAATAATAATAATAATAATAATAATAATAATAATAATAATAATAATTTTGACTCTAGTCTAAAACAACATTTCTCAACCTTAGCAACTTTTAAGATGTGTGGACTTCAACTCTCAGAAGCCAGCAGTCTGGGGAATTCTAGGAATTGAAGTCCACATATCTTAAAGTTGCTAAGGTTGAGAAACCCTGCTCTAAAGTCACATTTGATTTACATAAAATCTGTCCAAGTCAAGCATAACCATGGGGTGTCTATGGAGATTCTCAGTCATCCAGGGCATTGTTGTTCCAAAGGTCCTTTTTCAAGAGGTAACTGAACTTAGATGTTTCACTTCTCATCCAAGAAGTTTCTTCAGCTCTGACTGGATGGTGGGGAATGGAAGGATTTATTATACTCCTCACAGACAAGAGGAGACAAGAATCTGCAAGGAGTATAAATCCTTCCATTCCCCATCACCCAATCAGAGCTGAAGAAGCTTCTCGGATGAGAAGCGAAACGTCTTCAAAGAAAAACTAGAAAGTCCAGTTGCCTCTTGAAAAAGCACCTTTGGGACATCACCATGGGAAAAGTACATTATTTTGACAGGAAAGGCTTCCAATCTATGCGGCCATCATTCCATGGTGAGCAGGAAAAGAAAAAATGTTTGCTTCTGTCCCTGTTGTTGAGACTGCTTTAACTGACAGCGTCAGAGCAAAACTCTGTGCCTCTCTAGAGGATGCAGGAAAGTTAGTTTTCTGGATATGGAGCATAATTGCTACCCTTCAAGCAGTTGGATAGTATTTGAAGACTAATCCAAACTCAAGGATATTTTTTTTAAAGTCATATCCTCGTAGGAGTCCAGATTTGATCTGTCTAACTCTCTTCATCCTCTCCCCCCCCCCACTCCTATTTCCGGTGACTGTCCCTTTAAGACCCAGGCTTCCCTTTCTGCTCCCCATCACAACACCAGGGACACGTGCCTCCCCGCGTGCTTCCAAGGCTGAACTGTCGCCTTTTTTCCCCTGCCGCCTTCCCATTGGTTAAAACTGGGTCAGGCTCCTCCCACCATGTCTCCTCCCATTGGTCAAATCTAGGTCAGAGCCCCACCTGCCCCATGGCAGACGCACATGACAGAAGAAGCAGTGGGTGGGTGGTGGGGGGGAAGCGGTGTTTGCAAATCTCACGCTCTCGGGCGGCTGGTTGGTGGAGAAGGGCTCGCGAAGCTCCGCCCACTTTCGCTGCCCGGCTCCTCCTACTTTTGTGGGAAAAGGAGGGGCGAATTCGGAAATAGTTGCGAAGTGCTTTTTGAGGAGTAACTCGAGCGATATATTTTTTTTTGCAATTTTATATCTGCATCTATCCGTCTATTGCACGCGTCCAGCTCAAATGCATTGGTTCCCTTCTGGGGGAAGCCTGCATAGGACTCCGGAACGGATCGGGATCCGCTTTCGGTTTCTCCTCCTTATTATAACGGCGATCTGGCAGAGAAGCAGGTGCGAAAATCTCGGACTCCTTCATTGCCCGGTCGAGAAGACGCTTTTCCCTCGTTGGAGACCGCGCATTGCTTTTTCCAGTGCTTCTGGGATTTAGCTGGAGGAGGAAAAGGCGAGTTGATCCACCGTTTAGAGGGAGTAGGATCTATTAAGTGAAGGGATCACATCACCGAGCCTTTTAGACTTGAGAGAGGGGGAAAGGCTAGGGCTTCGGAGAAAAACCTCCGTTTTTCTCCGAAGTCATTAATTTTCCACCAAAATAAATAAATAAATAAATTTTTAAAAATGTGCTATACAACCGATTCCCCCCCACGCGTTAATCATCCTTAATTATTGTTTCCTGCTTTTAAAAAAATAATAAATCTCTCCCACCCCAGCCTCCTCATCTCCAGCAAGATCCTAACCAAGATCCTTCTTGGTGCCGACTGCTAAATTTGGAGCGGGGCAAAGCGGGGGCCGTCCGCCTGCGCCCTGGAGGCTTATTTGGAGGCTGGAGGTGGAAGGAGAACGAGAGAGGAAAGGGGGGGTGGGGTGGGGGGAGCAAGCGGGAAAGAAATATTTGTGGGGGTGGGGGTCATCCAGGTCCTGAAATTTCCTTCCCTTCCTGAGCATCGTCGGTGGATTTTCCTCGGGGTCTAGTTCGAAGCTTGATGCTTTTGCTGTTTTTTTTTATACATATATATCTCTAAAGTCGGGACACTTTGCTGGAGATCGTGGGAAAGAGAGGAAGAACCCACGTCGGCGGTGGGCATCTCCTGGAGTTAACTCGCAGCTGTCACCGCAACCTTCACCATGGCCCAGGGCAGTCCGGCACCCAGTCTCATGTCGTCTCCTCCTCTGGCAATCGGAGGCCCCAGTTCCACTATGGTCAGTCTCAAGAGCCTCCTGCAAGGACCGGTCAAGAGTCCTGAACGCCGGGGGACCAAGGATCTAGGCTCATGTGAGTGATTTTACACCCCACCCCACCCTGCCCCCACCGCCTGCAACATGCCAGGTCTAACCAGCATTTGTGCTCACAGCCACACAAAACATTTGCTGCTTTCTAACTGTTTCACCAGTACACAATGGAGGGATTTGATTTGTTTGTTTAGAAATTGCTAAAGCAATTTTTATGTGTCTCTATGTAGATTATCATCTATCATCTATCTGTCATCTATCTACTCAATCAGCATTCTAGCTAGCTAGCTATATCAGATAGATATCTCTCTATCTATCTCTATCTCTATCCTATCCATCCGTCTATCTATCTATCTATCTATCTATCTATCTATCTATCTTTCTATCTTTCTATCTATCTTTCTATCTATCTATCTAATCTATCTGCCTGCCTGCCTCTCTCTATCTCTCTATCTCTAATCTATCTGCCTGCCTGCCTGCCTCTCTCTCCTTCTCCCTCTCTCTCTCTCTCATCTATCTGCCTGCCTGCCTCTCTCTCTCTCTCTCTCTCTCTCTGCCTGCCTGCCTCTATCTATCTCTCTATATCTATCTATCTATCTATCTATCTATCTATCTATCTATCTATCTAATCTAATCTATCTGCCTGCCTGCCTCTCTCTATCTCTCTATCTCTAATCTATCTGCCTACCTGCCCCCCCTCTCTCATCTATCTGCCTGCCTGCCTGCCTGCTGCCTGCCTGCCTGCCTGCCTGCCTGCCTCTATCTATCTATCTATCTATCTATCTATCTATCTATCTATCTATATCTATCTATCATCTCATCTCATCTACTATCATCCATCATGTAGTTGCTAGGAATCAAAAACAACTTTGGTGGCACATAATCCATCAACTATATATAGAATTGCTGCTAGTTCCATTTTACAGTTTGGAAACCAAGAGGATGAGCCCCTCTAGAGGGAGAAAGATTGGCCATATTTGCAAAGCATATTTTCCGGATATGAACCAAATCATGGTTTATTTAACCCATTTTTAAATGGGCTTGTCCCACTTACTGAAGCATGAACTTGACATGGCTGGCCAGGTTGCACCACACATTTGATACATTATGTTTGGCTGGTTTGTGATTCAGTGTGCCTGTGGGAACACGGAATTAAAGTGAGGGTCTCCTCTGGGCCCGTATTATTTTTTATCCACCATTTGAACCTTGAGAAGCCTTTCCCAAGTATTTCATTTTAATTGTTCAAGTGTTTTCTGCCTAGGTTGCCTGAGACATGCCAATTTCATATTATGGATGCAGTTTATAATAATTAGGGGTCTTATGTCACATTAAAGATAAATGGTATCAGTTTGTTATGGGCTCTCTGTGTGTGCATGTATCAGAGGGAGAAGAGGGAGGGGGGAGTGAGGGAGGGAGAGACCCTATAATAAATATCATTCCAGCTGTCACTCCATCTTGTTCGTTTTTCCTCCTGACTACACTGATTTCCCAATCTCCCTGCTCATTTGGGATTCTTTGCAACATTGGATTGTCTTTTCCATCCCAACCTGGCCAATCTCTTTTAAAGTAACAGGAATGCATCAGTGGTAAAGAGGCCGCCTTGCTGTGGTTTTCTGCTTGCTTTCACTTCTACCTTTTCTGCCATCTGGATTTGGGAAGAGGAGGGGGGAAAAGGAGCAGAGGGAGTGTTGCCATTAATGCGGTGTCCTCATTTCAACCTGCCACTGTTACTTCCCCTTTTTGTTCTGTTTCCTGTACTGTGAATTGCAAGAACAAGATTTGTGTTCAAGGAAGATTCTTTTTCAAGAAATTGCTTATAAGAGCTCCTGTGCCTTCCGCTGTGCATAGAAGACGCAGCCCTGTTTTAATTTTGATGGGATCATCATTTTTAATGAAGCTTTGGAGGTGGGGGGGGAGGTTGTTCTCTCATAGCTTTTGGCTGGGAGGGGCTTAGATCTGAGAATTCCACAGGAGAGCAAAACTCTTGTAAATAGGATATGGTATAGTAGGTGGAGTTAGACACATAGGACTTCGAAGTTGCCCTCCTCGAACCTGGCACCCTTCTGCTAGAGTGGACTGCAGGAGTGGTTGGAGGGGGAGGACGGGGGGAGTTGTAGTCCAATCCATATGAAAGATGCTTGCTTTTGGAAGGCTTTGGCCAAGATGTAGGTGGGAGCCAGGATTTTCAAAGATCAGGATGGGGGGGAGTAAGAGGGGAGAGAGAGGAATTTCCAAACCTAAAACTTATCCTAGTTCTCCCCATTCCCTGTAATGACATCTTTAAGAAACACTTGCCATGTCTGCTGTTGCAGTTCCTTCTTTTTTAAATGGATTTTTGGAATTCTAGTGTTGTGTTTTCTAGTTCAGTTCCTCTCATGCAGTGGCTCTCAACCTGTGGGTCGGGACCCCTTTGGGGTTCAAACGACCCTTTCACAGCTCCCCCCGGAGATACGGAGGATCCCGGATCTACGCACCTTCCGCCGCGCTCTCAAGACCTTTTTATTTCACCAGGCTGGTCTGGCCTAACCTCTCCCATTTTCTTTTTAATGTAAATTTTAATTTGTTCTTAACCTGGGGTTTTACATTTGTCTTGGGCTAAATTGATTTAATTCGATTTTACTTCTGCTCTTAAATTTTTGTATTCTATGTGTTTTATCTTGTGCCTGTTCACCACCCTGAGTCCTTCGGGAGTAGGGCGCTATATAAATCAAATAAAATGAAATGAAAAAAAAAATGAAAAGGGGTCGCCTAAGACCATCTGAAAACACATATTTTCAATGGTCTTAGGAATAATTTTATGGTTGGGGGTCACCACAACATGAGGAACTGTATTAAAGGGTCGCGGCATTAGGAAGGTTGAGACCCACTGCTCTAATGCCTCACAATGCAGCAGCATCACAGAGGGTTTTTAAATATATATATATAAAATGGAAGGTTTGTGGTGGTGGTGGGGAGTATCAGGTTTTCAGGTGGGGAAATGGCTGTCATAGTCTCCTTGCAGGAGGGGGCCAGGGAAGGATAAGCAGAGAGATCTTCGATTTCTGATCTGGGAGGGGAAGAGGGGGGAGGGGGGTCATCCTCTTTAAGACCCTCTCAGAGAGAAGGTTTGGGGAGCCAGGATTCCTGGAGTTTTGCTGCTGGAGAAATGCCAACTCGTCAGGGTTTTCCAGAGTGATCCATCAAGGGGTATTTCTGTACATCCGCGTGCATACACACACACATACACACGCTTACATCTGCTGGCTGGCAGCAGTAAATCCCTTAAAGCTGCACACAGCTCAGCCACGGGACACAGCAGGAGGGAACGAAACGTGCTGGCGTGGAGCTTCGCCCCAGGAAACAATCTCTAAGACTTTTCACACGAGCAATCAGACAGCGGGCGGGCAAGGGAGGTGGGGGGTGGCAGCAGCCTGGATATTGTGGGGACAATCAGGGCATTTCCAAGGGTCAGCAAACTCCTCCCCCCGCAAAGAAAAAGAAGGGGGGGGAAGAAAAGAAGTGAGGGAGCGCCTTCTCTCCAAGAGCCGGCATTTATATTCTAATTTAGCAGTCAGGATGGGAGGTGGACAGAAAGATACAGACAGTGGGTATCTCGGCATAGAGATCATAATGTGGGGCGGGCAGCTGGTAAGCCAGATCAAGGTTTGAAGGGTGCCAGTTGGATCTCTTAGCCTACCTGGACCGAATCTTCTATGGGCTCACCTCCTCCCCTTTTAGTCCTTATTTAATATTTGTTTTCCTCCTAGCTGCAAGACCCTCATTAAGACAAGATCCCTGTCTACAGAGGAGAGACCTTACATGTTTTAAGCCCCCCTTCCTCCAACAAGTGCATTGGGATGCCTGCATTGGGAGACATATTCCTTCACGTGCGCCTCCTTCCCCTCCTCCCCTCCCCTCCCCTCCCTCCCCCTGGATTTCAGGAGCTGATGCTAACCTTGACCATCCGTATTAGCGTTCAAGGGTTGTTGATGTTTTTTTTTTCTTTCTGCCACGTGCATTATTTTATGTTGCTTTGGAGAGCATTCTGCGCTCTGGTTTTTTTGTGTTGTCTACGTTTGCTAGCTGTCTCGATTTGCTTCTGATAACTCCAAGGCTGCTTGGCGCAGGCTTCTGTGCTTGGACGTTTGATTATTTTCGTTTTATTTGAGTTATGGTTGCATCGAGCTGGCTGAGCTTGGGTTCAAAATAATAATAATAATAAAAAAAAAACATTTTTTTTGTTGTTGTCTACATTCGCTAGCTGGCTCCATTTGCTTCTGATAACTCCAACCACTGGGAAGGCTGCTTGACGCTGGCTTCTGTGTTTAAAGGTTTGATTATTTTCGTTTGGTTTGGGTTAGGACTGCAGCAGGCTGGCTGAGCCTGGGTTCAAAATAATAATAATAATTTTTTAAAAAATTGTGGCGTTCACTCTGCTTGGTACCACAGCCTGAATATTGGGCATTAGCTATTTCCCTTCTCTGTTTCATTATATTCCTTTTAGCAATTGATCCCCAAATATCCTGAGCCACATTAGTCACAAAGCTAGTGTGGTTTGTGGGTGAGAGTATTATGTGTCTCCCAAGCTAGGATTACCAGATGGTTCTGTTTACTGTACATATGCCTAGGAATAATGCAGGTTAAATATATTGTGTGAATTCAGCCTTGAGTTACTTTGTATTCTGAAACAGTTTTCACCCCTGCAATAGCTAGTGGGGCAGAATTAGAAAACAAGGCTCACATGCTGAAGTCCAGCTTTAGATATTATGTTAAATTGGCCGTGGGGAAGCAATTATGGGAAATTTTGGGGGAGTGAGGGAGCAATTTAGGAGGTAATTTTAGTGTCACACAGGAAAAATCTTTGTGCTGAAGAGCCAGGACTAAAGGCAAAGGAGGAATGGAGACAAAATGTTTATCACTTTTATTTTCCACTGTATCATTCCCCATATTTTAAATAATATCAGCAGTCTTATTTCTATATCCTGTTCTTTCCCGAGGTAGTTCATTATTCCCATTTTACAGATGGGGAAAACTGAGTCTTTAAAAAAAACAACCGGCCATGGA